CTCTCTCTCTCTCTCTCTCTCTCTCTGTGTGTGTGTGTGTGTGTGTGTGTGTGTATGTGTGTGTGTGTGCTTGTGTGTGCGCATGTGGAAGTCAGAGGACCACCCTGGGCATCGTCCCCGGGAACACTGTCCACTTCTGAGACAGTACATCTCGTTGCCTTGGAGCTCGATCACCAATTAGTCTAGACTGGCTGACCAAAGAGCCCCAGGGATTCTCCCACCTTTGCCTCCAGTGTGTACCATTATGCCCATCATCTTTACAAGGGTCTTGGGGCCCAAACTCAGGTGTTCATGTTTGAGAAGCAAGTGCTTTATTGACTGAGCCATCTCAGTGCTGGTACTGCCTTCTTTTGACTGGCATTTCCCTAGGACAATATAAGAATTCAGACTTCTGTTATCTCACCTAGGGCCAGCCTTTTATAGTCATGTGATATCACACAGTGACAGCGAAGGACTAGACTTGTGTTCACTTGTGGAGTCAACTCGTTCCCTCTTGCGAAGACCTTGACTTGGGGGAGGCCCCTGGCTACCTAGTCCCATTCCACTTTGCCTTGACAACTGGCAAATAGAGGAGGATCGGTAAGACAGGCAGAGTGCCAGGGGCTGGAAGCTCCTGCCTGGGTAGTGATACCTCAGAGGAGACGAAAGAGGGGAGTGTGGCTCTTCTTGACTGTTCTAGTGGGGGCGATGGTAGGATTTTATTACTGATTGGCCACCTGGAGGCATCTTTTGGGGTCTTTCTCAGAAGTGACCAAACATGAAAAGATGAGGGATCAGGGCAGTGGAGATACCACCCACCCTCCCATGGTACCCGGGAGAGTCTGTAGAGGGACAGGTCTGGCCTCTAACAGGGAAGGTGCAGAACTAGGCTATGGGGATGAGGTGTTGGAGGAATGACTCCAGATACATCCCTGGGGAACTGAGAGTCTGGGGTGACTTGGGGCAGAGGCCATAAAAGACTATAAAGGATTTCAAGACAGGGGTGGTACCTGCAGTGGTTAGGCCCTGGTCCCCAAGCCTCAGGGGGCTGGAAGGGAAGTTCATCTCTGGGAATGAGTTATATCCGGCTTCTCTACATCTCACTTTTCATACACAGGACCAATACTGTCTATTTGTGAAGAGTGAGACAGAATTGGGTCATGTTCATTATTTTCAGTCTTTGTATAGATTTTTTTTAAAAAAAAAGAAGTAAAAGAGTAATTGGATAAGCTTACAAAAATCCTGTTCTGTGTTTTAGAGGTTTACATCTAACAATTGTATTTTAAACACTCAAATCTCATTTGGAGACCATAGAGAAAGTCTGAATGTGGTGACTGTCATAAACACAAGGCTTGGATCCAACAGTCTCACCCCATAGTGCTCACCTGGCCTTGGTGGTGTTCCCTGTCATGAGCTGATGGTGGGGACATGGTAAGCTTGGCATAGTGTCCACATTTTGGGGTTCTCTGGGTGTGGCTTGCATGGCAAGCTGTGGCCTTGGTTGTGCTGCTAACTCAGGCCGATGCTCTACCTGTAATGTTCTCCACACTAGAAGCCTTCTGCGTGCATTTTTGTATCTTCCAGATTTCACATCAAACTGCCTGGCTTCGGGATGTTCCTGATCAGGCTGCTGTTTAGTCTTGGTAGCATTGAGAGGACAGCGGGTGAGGGTGGGCTAGTTGCCTTTAGAGAATTACTATTTACAACGGGGTCCCCTGAGTGTAGATCTGCCAGGGATGAAGGAAGGGCACAAGCACATCTATCTGTGGTGTTCCAGGGGATGGAGGGTGCTGTTCAGGCCTGGGCTGGCACACAAACACTTCCTGCTACCTATGTCTGGTGGTAGAGCAGTTTGCAGGGAAAACAGCAGGGGCTGGTGGCTGTTGTGTACAGCCTCACCCAGCACCCAGTAGCAGGGCTTTGGGTTTCCTTCTGTTGTCCCCTTTGTCTGCTCTGCCCTTCTCTTCTCTCACCTTCAGCTCTCCTCAGGCTTCAGACCAACTTAAATATCATCTGCTCTAGGATGATACCCCCTCCTTTGCTTCCTGGGCTGTCACTCAGCAGCGCCATTTAAAGCGGCATTTCTGAGTCATAGTTATACATCTGTCTCTGACTGAGATGCTTCAGGACAGTGGGGAGTCTGTCTGTCCTCTGAATCCTTAGCTGAATGGTGGGGCTGAGTTCCTAGCACAACACAGAGGCTCAGTGTGAGCCTGTGAGCATCTGTGCCTTTGTGATATGTATACCTTTATCAGAATGGTATGAATAGTGAGTGGGAGAAAAGTGCAAGGATGCAAACACAGACCCCCCCCACAAACCCACACACAGAGACAGACACACAGACACACACAGACCCACACACAGACACACACAGAGACAGAGACACACACAGAGATCCACACACAGAGACAGACACACAGACCCACACAGAGAGACAGAAACACACACAGAGACAAACACACAGACACATGCACACCCAGACCCACACACAGAGATCCACACACAGAGACAGACACACAGACCCACACACAGACCCACACAGAGAGACAGACCCACCCACCCACCCACACACACACAGACACACAGATCCACACACAGAGACAGACACACAGACACACACACACAGACAGACACACAGACACACACAGACACAGAGATGCACACAATGCCCTGCCCTGAGCTGACAGCAAAAACCTCAGGCCTCCTGTCCATTTCCAGCCCTCCTGCCTCCCCAGCTCACCTCCTTGCCAGTTCTCATGCTAATAAGAGGAAGCATTAGCCCGGGGAGCTGCTTGGAAAGGAAGTCTTTGAAATGGAAATGTTATGACAAAATGATGGATTGTTTTCCTGGAGCTGTGTGGTTTGTTTCTTCCCAGTGGCAGAAGGGAGAATAGAACAGACAGGAATGGCAGAGGCTGCCCCATGGCAGAGTCCAGAATGGTGTTAAGCAGTGACATTCACACTGAGAGCAGAAAGTAGGGGCTCAGGAAAGGTGAGGGCAGCTGAGCAGAGCTTGGCCCCTGTCAGGCAGCTCTGGTCATCCCTGGGGGTCACAGCTTGCAGCAATTGCAGGGAGGGGTCAGTCCTGATGCCAAGAGGGACATCTGGGCTGTCTATCTGCTGGGGTCGTACCCAGCATTACACAGCTTGCCTCTGCCTTCCTCTTCTGTCCCCTAGGCATTCTGTGTTCCTTGCCTTCTCTGTCTCAGGATGCTCCTCATCCTTATGCCAGCTCCTCTGAGAAAGGTGCCTATTATACCTAAACCCTCTTTCCCCAAGCCACAGAAATAGTGATGGCTGAGTCCTAACCCCAAACTGTCACTCGTTTTATTCATTTTAGAATGTGACACACTGCTCTAGGCGCTGTGTCCATTTGTGAGAACACAGAAAGACCCTCCCATGTTGCAAAGCTTGTGTTTTGCAGAAGCAGAGACCACGGAGATAAAAGATGAATCTATGAGGGCCTAGGAGCAAAGCTGCCCTGTCTAGCACTTGCCCAGAATGCACACGAGGACCTGGGTTCAATTCCTAGCCCTGCAAACTAGACAAAACAAACACCCCAAAACAAACAAACAGAAAGTGCATATGGGTATCAGTGCCGTGGGCTTGGGTGGGGACTTTGAACAAGCTAAGAACATTGAGCCTTAAGGTGAGGCCAGAAGGGTAGGCTCAATGAGAAGGCAACAGTTGGACACAGATAGGAAAGGTTAGCAATGCACTAACAGGAGAGAGAAGTTACCACTGGGTAAACACGAATGCCCTATTCTTTGCTTACATTGTTTGGCTTTCTAAAGAAAGATGAGTCATTTCTAACTTCTTACAGCATTTAGTGTTGGCATAGAGGTTCTGTAGATGAATGTTGTGTGAATAAGCCTGGTCCTGGACGTTCCAGGCCAGGAGTCAGCACTAGTCCTGGAGCGCCCTCTAGTGACCAGACCTCAAAAGCTAGCCTTGAGACTCTTGTTTATAACTGGGATATTCTTGCCCACTTCAGATGACTCTGGGAGCAGTGGTCAACCAGACAATAGACTTGACTGTTTACCTCATGCAAAATATAGTGGCAGTTACTTCAGGAGATAC